ACTTGTTTCAACAGCCAGTCATAAAATGTGTTTATAAATGTACACAACTGGGTGATAATTTAAGGACTGTCAAATTTTTAAATGCAAAAATATTTTGATTTAAATGTAGAATTTTATATCTACCTAAGAAAGTTTAAAGAAAAACAATAATTAATGCAACAGGAATCACATTCTTGGGAGAGATAACCAATAAGGAACAGCAGGTAGAAGGGGGAGATAGTGAAACACAAAATTAAAAATAAGCAATAACTCCAAAGATCAGCAGCAGCACTGCATGAATATCTATAGCCTTCTAAGGGAAATAAACCATGATCCACAGATGAAGCTTAACATTTCATAGAGGCCATATTATAAAATAAAAATGTCAGTGTATATTTTATTTAACTGCAGATATAATCAGCTCAACCTGTAACCAATATAAAACTATTGCAATATGTAGACTCATGCCCCTTGAAATGTCCTGGAAGGCTTGGTTATCTTCCTTGTGTCTCAGAGTATAAGTGAAGGAATTCAGAATAGGAGAGATGATAGCAGTTGGCATTTGACACATCATCAACAGCTACAGAGTCCTTTGCTGAAAGTCTATAATGATGAAGATAAAACTTCCTTAGACTCTGAGTTACAGTGATTTGTGTACCTAATTTATATACATTCCATATATTTAAATTTCCTGTATTTTTATGATTTTCCTCACATTTTAATTCCACAACAGACAATGGTTATAGTTATAGACCAAGAGAGAGAAAGAAATGAAGATGTAGACATATGACCATTTTCTTTACCATTTTACTAGTATTTTAACATTTTATTCCACACAGGGTATATTCAAATTAATTCATTAGTCCTGTCATTATTTTAGAGTACCCAAAATTTGGAAGGATTTCATGTATTAAATAATTCAGTCTGTATTCACATACAAGACTTGAAATTTTTTTACTTTAAAATGGTATCATTTTTGTTGTCATTGTGTCTGTGCTTATGATTTATTTAGATATGTCATAATATGTTTATGTAATTCACTTGTTTCATGTACCTCTAAAATATAAGGTATGAATAGACAATAGTTTGTGGCTTTCCTGTCTTGTCTTCTATGCCTGAAATGGTGCCTTGTTTTTTAAAAAAAGGCTTTGAAATAGTAGAACTGGAAAATACAATAAACCCAATTACTCAATGAAAATGTATGATGAAATCATTGATTCTACAGTATTCGGTTTCATTTTACTTGAAATTTCCTTAAGACTTTTTATTATGTAAAGTCATTCTTTTGTTTCCTAGAAGTACATACCCTCACTGAGAAAAGTAATCTTGAAACAGTTTCCTTGCAAGAAAAGTAATGATGTAAAAGCTCAAAGATACACACTTAGAAACCAATGAATTTTGTGAAAATTAAAAATTCTTTTACATTACCAAATTCCCTTATTTCTTTCAGAAATGTGAAATTCTTTTGATTGAGTCTTTAAAGGCCTGCTTTACTTGCTTGTTCCTCAGTATGTAAGTGAAAAGGTTCAGCACAGGAGTGATGGAAGTAGTGAGGACTGTCATGCCCTTGTTCTTTTTTTTTTTTTTTCCAGATTACAGATTGTTAATATTTAATGCTTTTTTATTTTAAAGATAAAAGATGAAAACATCTTAACAATCACACATACATTTAGAAAGTAACATAAAAAGAGGGAGCTGAACTGCATCTTGGACAGCTTCAGGAACTCCAGTGAGCTGTTGTTGCCCCCACATACGAGCTTGGGAGCCAGGCAATAACCTAGACAGCTCTAGAGGCCTGGGGTCCACTTCCTGAGCCTCCCCTCTAACCATTCTCCTGTTGGAGCTGAGCTGCACCTTGGACAGCTTTGGGACCTCCAGTGATCTGCTGCTACCCCACACATGAGCTTGGGAGCCAAGGGGAGCCCCAGACAACCTCAAGGGACTTGGTGCTCCTCCCTGCTCCCACCCTGCACCCTCACGGGAGCTAAGCTGAAACTCAGACAGCTTTAGGGGCCTCAGTGACTGCATACTTACCTCCCCACATGGGTGGGAACTGGGTGGGATAG